AACATATATATTTAATTATGATATAAATTTAATATAATTAAATTGATTTTAAAATTTAGTTTTGAAATATAAAAATTTTCTCACATCTACTAATATACTTATGTATATAAATGAAAGGATAAAAGATAAATTCAAATAGACTTATGTTCCATTTGAATAGAACTTGGTAAAAATTAAGTAAAATTGGGTGAAATTAAATGAATTTTATTCAATTGAGTGCAAAATTTGTAAATTGTTGAGTATATTTGGTTGAAAATAGAAAACATTAAATTTAATAGAGTCAAATATAATTAATTTTACACCTAAATATAATGGTGTAGATCAAATTTAAAAATGATAACAGTAAAGGCTGCCGCTAGAGAGTCTTTTCAAAAATGCTAACACTAGCATTTAATTTTATTGACTAATATTGAGTGAATTGGTTTGAAACTAATCAAATTAACTCTCAAATCAATAAAATTTATTGTAATGAGATGAAATTAGGATAAAATCTAATTATTCCATACAATTCATCATATATATATTCTTTTTGTCCCAAAAAGAATATCACACTTCACTATTTAAAAATTACGGAAATTTTATTTGTTTGTGCGTTGTCATTTATATGTATAACTTATCTTTAATTTCTAAATATAATAAATTTAAGGCATAAAAATTTGTACTTTTTTTCAAGAAGATAATCCATTTTATGAGGGAATGAGCAAATAATGTAACTAGTTCAAATGTTAAATAAAAGTAAAAATTTAAAAATATAATATGCTTATTGAAAGATAAACATAGTTCTGAATTTATCGATTTTAGTTCTAATCGAGTTTGGATATTATGGGTTTCAGATCTAATTGGGTTTGGATTTTATCAGTTTCGGATATTATCGGGTCCAGATCTAATCGGTTTCGAGTTTAATCAGTTCAGATATTATCGATTTCGGATCTAATCAGTTTCGGATTTAAATCGGATATGAATTATTTAGTTTGGTTTCGGTTCGGTTCGGATCATTTCGGGTTTTCGGTTATAGATCGGATCTTCTTTTTTCGGATCATTTCGGTTTCAGTTTCGTATATTTTGGTTCGGATACAATTTGAGTCGGATATATTTCGGTTTCTGGTCTAGTTCGATTCGGATATATTTCGGTTTCGGATCAAATATATTTTGAATATATATTATTCTCGAAACTCAAGAAGCCGTTTGGAAGTTGGAAGGTCAATAGTTTGATCAGCGTTCGTTGACGTTGTTGATTCATTCGGTTCATCCTTGTATTGAAATTATCGTATCGTATTCGAGGTATGTGCACATTAGATATAACGGAGGAATCTTTAAGATATTAATATGCGAATACGTTGCTTGTTTATATGGTTTTTTGTGTACAGATTCATACCATGTTATCTTTTTTTATATATTAAAGTTCCGTAGAGAACAACGAGGGATGTTATGAAATTAAGCGATTACACCAAGGCTAAATGGATGTTTGACTCAATTGTAAACAGTATGAATTTTGAAATAAAAGTAGTATAGCGGTTAGGCTATGAAGAATATGGTTAGGCTCAAGCAAATACCATTGGATATCGTAATAGCATCACTTGAAATGTATAAATTTGACATGTGAATGAACAAGTTAGAAAACACCTGGACTATATTTAGACGATTACATGAACACATAAATCCATGCCCAAATATATGTGTTTACATGTATGAACGTATGTGCATTTGTAGTTTTATATGCTCAACTACTTGGCATAACCTACATTGAGTCCGTATGATCGTAGTTTTCTCGTTATAAAGATATATGGTATGAAACTTGTTGAAAAAGAAATCACCTATCAATCCACTTGATTGAAAAGGTACTATAGATATAGATATATTGCAATTTTGAATGTTCATTCTAATTTTTAAAATTTTGAACCTAATAAGATAAACCAAACAGAACCTGAGTATTGTGATAATCGATTATCACCAACTGATAATCTATTATTGGTGTTGTTGAACTTTGATAATCGATTATCACCAAATGAGGGTGGTGCTAAACTTTGATAGTCGATTATCACTAAGTGATAATCGACTATCAAGTGTTGTTGAACTTTGAACTCAAACTAGATAATTGATTATCAACACGTGATAATCGTGTAACGCCCCAAAATATACATTAGAATTAATACTGAATTATTCAATTGATCAAATTTGTTTTGATTAAAATAAATTGTTGTTGGGCTTTGGGCCAAAAGAGAATATATATTGATATTCAATATTACAGTCTGGATAAGTCTCATTGAGATAAATCCCAATATGATGACTTTGTTATGTGACCTTGATTGGGAACTAGAGTACATACCCAAAATCAAGGATAAATGAAGAAATTGTAATGATATGAATTTTGAACTGAATTCTTGAAATAAATCATGTGAATAAATTAAATGTGAGAACTTTTTTGAATAATGGTCAATTAAACCAATTTAGACTCTATCAAAGTCAAACACCCGAAAAATATGATGTCAGAAAAAGTATTACAAATAAATATGAGAAATATATCATTGAATAGAATTTGACTGTCTGATCGCAACGGTGCAAACGGATTTCAATTTGGAGAAAGTTAAATAAAAAAGTGTACCCCGACTGGGACCAAATATTAGTTCCAATCAGAGACTACATACCAAACGGTGCCCTATTCACTTACGCCGATTCTAAAATTTGAATCATCGCTCAATCATGGAAGTAACCCAAACCTGTGTCTTCTTCTTCACAGGGTTATTTAAGGACAACCCATCTTTCTTATTTCTTCACCAAATTACACAAAACTTCCTCATATCCTGCTGCTCTAAGTGAGGAGAACACACTGGTGTTGTTAGCTTTGTGAGAGGTCGCCGCAGTAAAGAGATTTAGTTGCTGAAAGTTTCGTGGAAAATCTTCAAAACCTCCATTATGCTTCGAGGTAAGCCCGTAGATATATCTAATGACTAGAATATTTATATAGATCATTTTTAAATTCATAAATGGTCATTTGGTTGAGTTTTATGTTTGACATGTTTGAAAAATTAAGAATCATAAACCTTGAATTTGATATTAAAACTATAAATATATGACTCTAAAATGATATGTGAACATTGGAGCACATCTCTATATAATTTAATTGAAGTTTGGTAATTAAAAATTATATTACTCAAAACTGAGAAGATGATGAACAGTAGCCGAAAATCGATTATTTTCTTAATAGGAATCGATTAGAATTTTGTTCAGATGGAGGTATTCGAAGTCAGTATATTAAGAAAACATAATTGGTTATTTTTAATTATAAAAATCAATCTAAATGTATTAATCAGTAATTTATAAAACTAAAAATTGGTTTTAAAGTATTAATTGATTATTTTAAAAATAAAAATCATTTTTAAGCATTAATTGATTATTTTAAAAATAAAAATCAATTTTTAAGCATTAATTGATTATTTTAAATATAAAAATTGATTTTTAAAGTATTATTCAATTATTATATTAAATAATTATTTTTCTTATGATCCGAAAATATTCTTTAAAATGAGCTCTAAAATCTTATTTTTGATACCAATTAATTATGAACAATATAAATATGAGTTTGTACAATAAAAATGATGTTTTTGGCATATTAAATATTATGTGATGCATGACGGTAAGTTTGGGTGTTAACACTCGAGACTATACCAGTATTTGCTATCGAGTGTTATGTTGATTGATCATTATGGTGAATAAATATTGTGAATGATTGAATCATGGTTAAAAATGAATATATTGATTATTATGAAATGATTTGTATTGTTAAGGATATTTAGAAGAATTCTAAGATATATCCATTTAGAATTGATAATGACTATTAAGGATATCTAGAAGAACTCTAAGATGTATTTATGTTGGTTTCTAGTACTATCTAGAAGACCTCTAATATAAATTAGAAATAGGCGTTGCGGGTATGATCCCCGGTGGCTAGTGTTAAAACGTATGTACGGGATCCAAGAACCAAACTTGAGTATCTACTCGTTTGGGGTACCACCCAACCCAACAATGAACACTACGCTATCAGTTTTTGGTTGACCTTAAGCGAATGTAAGTTTAAGATTTGAAACTCTTTTTAAAAATATATCTTAAATTAGGCCTAGCTTAAGGATTAGAATATCTTGAACTAGAATTAGTTTAAGAATGGAACTAGGCTTAAACTAATGTTAGTTTAAGGATATTATTAAATATGAATGATGAACATTGAATATGAATGATGAATATTGAATATGAATGATGAATATTGAATATGAATGATGAATATTGAATATGAATGATGAATATTGAATATGAATGATGAATGTTTGATATTGAATGATGAACGTTGGATAATGAATAATTAAATTGAACATTACTTGCATGATATCAAATGATTCAATTATGAATTAAGATTCAACTTGGGTGGATGTTCGACGCTTTGGATATGCTTATTTGCTACACCCAGGTTAATAGAAAAAATGAAGTGACGTGATCCTGGAGGTAGATGGAGGCGAGATTGTCGGATTGGATGTGTAATACCGTATCCGTATTAATAAAATATTCTTATAAAAAATGGAGTAAATTTTTTTGAAGGAAGAATTTACTATTACAAACATTTTACTACATGTTAAAAAAAATACATATAGCTATATAAAAAGATTTTCCAATGTGAAAAAAAAGAGAGAGAAAATATAACTTTGGTGTATATTTTTGAGAAAGTAAGTATGAACATATTTTTATTGCATACTTGTACTTTTAAACTTCAAAGTATATATGTGAAGTTAATTTAAAGTATTTTTAAACTAAGAGCAATGTTTGATTTGCAAAACTTGCGTATTAAACTTTTAAATTGATTTTAAAAATGTATACGATTGGGATAGTGTGACAATTTTAAGGAGCATACCGTTAATGTATTCTATTTCGAATAAATATTTACAAAAGAACATGGAGACTTTTGGTTCAAGAGTAGAATTGGAAACATGAAGTATTTTTGCAAAGGAGTGCACAAATGACTCATTATTTTATAATGACCCACTTGGTATACATGTATAAAACCTGTTGACAAAGTTAGAAGTTTACAATGGAAATAACTTTGAGCTGTGAGAGAGTGTAATGGATTTTCAAAAAAAACATCACTATACAATTTACATTGTCGAGGTGTGTATTGAAGAAAGCCACTGCCAAGTTCACAATTAAAAGGAGGGGCAGGTTGTACAAAGAAAAGAAAAAATCATAAGGAATAGTCATCATCTCATTTAAGGGGGGCAGGTCATATCTTTTCCTCTCCACACAACCCCTGCACAATTTTGTCCTCATCATCATTTATTAGGAAGGGACCCTAGCATCTTCCTCTCCACACATCCCCTACAAAGAGAGAGTTTCTGCCTAGATTTTTTGAAGTATTAAGTTTAGATCAGTCTTGAAAGCTATAAAGGTAAGCCAAGAATTTATCTTCACGGGTCTCATATCAAATTGATGAAGCATCAGAGTAGTGCTTTCCTCTCCACATGATCCTGGGATTCCTGGCCATAAGATATCAATGACTGATTCCTCCATTAAAGAGAAGGGCTCTTGCTCACCGCACACCCAACTTGCCAAGAAGGAAAAAAAACATATTGCTTAGTTCCTTTCTGAAATTAAAGTGCTGGGCCCTAGCACATCTACCTCCCTTTATTTTTTCCACAAGAAGAGGACAACATCATTAATGAAGGTGGGGCCTAGACTTATACACAATTGACAAGTATGAGGACCATTCCATTATACGGAGTATAAACGAGGGGCTTCTCACCACAACGATACATAACATAAAAATTTTCTGAAATGCATATTCTTAGAACAATGGAGCTAGTCTAAGAATTAGCATTGTAAATTATAAAACCAGCCAGTTTATAACCCCCAAGCCCATAGAAATTTATCCAGTCCTAAAGAAGGGAACTACTGACCAAGACCATTCATTTAGAAAAGAATGGAGAAGCATCCACCTTGCAGGAGTTGAAATTTTTCATGGATAGCCTGAAGAAATAAGCAAACTGTGACAGAACTCCAACACAGGTGAGTGGGTTATAAATTCTTAATATTACATTTTAGCCTATAATCATAAGTAGTTGAATTGATTTTATAACTATTTTTTAGGAATTATTATATCCCTACTGCCATGGATAAATGAGATTTTATAACAAAGGATACGTTTTTATCACACTCATTTTGAAACAGGGGTGTTTTTACCCAGAGATATTTTACTCAATGTGGTTTAGAAATATCTGGGACTAAATGTAGTTTTTATAACTATACGTTGCAAAGCCTTTCCGAAACAAAACACAGGTTATGTTGGAACCACAATTAATATACTTCTATTAAAGTTTGGTTTTTCACAAGAAGCAGTTGTTTTAAACATAATAGTCTATTTAGATCAACATATGATTTCCTACAAAGTTGTTACCAAAGTTCAAGAAGTGTGATGAGTAATTTCTTTTATACCTCGGTTTGTGAAACCTTGTTTTGAGCATAACTTATGTTCTCTACTATAAATCTTTTAAGAAAGAAATGTTTTTTTACCCCTCTCAGATGAAGGATTGTACTTTACATTATTTGGTTCTACAGGATTTTGATTGTAAAAGTGAATATTTGAGAATCTTTGAAAAACAAGAGATTAAATCATCTTTCTCAAACCAAAACTCCTACCCCAAATTGATTTTACAAATTTCAGAGGAAACGATAAAATACCTTAATTTTACACAAGGTTTCTTCATTTTTCAAAAGTTGAGTAAATTTCACATTTTGAGTATATTTTGAAAATAAAACCAAAAGAATCTACTCAAACATATTTTTCAAGAAATAGGGTTTCACTAACATGGCTTAAACTAAGAAGTCTTCGAATCCTTTATCCATTTTTACAAAATGGGAGAATTTGAAATGTGTTAGGAATCCATCCCCTACAAAATATAGAGATAGAAGGGAATTAATCCCACAAGGAATTGAAATATCATTGCGAAACTAATTGGAGAATTCAAACGATTAGCGTCTAGGAATGATTGAGAATGAGAAGTTTTGATTGTACCTTGCCGAAGTCAGCGACTGCGTCACTCCCCTTCATCGTTACAACGAAGCTGCTGCCTTTTCTCCGAAACCGACGAACGACGCTGCCGGCACAAGGAAACGAGGAAGATTGCCTGGAAGGGATGTCTCTCTCTCTCCTTCTTCCGACGCAAATGAACGGACCAGAGACCAGGATAAATTTTTGAGATAAGGGAGTAGGTTTTAGTGAAAATAAAGTTTTGGGCCAAAATGGAATGGGCCTAAGTTTTAATAAAACGCATAATTTCACTCCAAACATTGAAAGGTTATGATTTAGACATTTTAAATTGTTATGAAATGATTTATAACCTTCGGGTACTAAATTGCGGGATAAAATATATTGTCTCTTTTTGGACACAGAATAATAATAGATCTTCGTATTTTATACCGAGATGCTATTATTAGTTGGGCCCTTAGGTATATGGCTTTAGAGTCATCGGTGTATAAATCTCGGCCGTAGATTACTTTATAGTGCCTCCCTAAGTGGACGCATAATAATAATAGATCCGGGTGCCGGAGGCTATTATTAGAACGGGTAGGAAGGGTCATGCGTGATTGCTTCCTAGCCCACAAATAAGAGGAGTTACTTTTGAGTACCTCCCAAGTGTTAGGGCTTAGCGCCACCACTAAGACTAACACGCCCTAACGCCGAAGTTTTTGGGGATAGGGTTAGGCTTTAGCCATGAAAACCCTAAGGCTTTCTTGAGAAATTTTCTCTAAATCAAAGGATAAATCCCGCGGGATTATTTTTACTATAGTGTGAGAACAAAATTGTATATAGTTTTCAGACACCTCGACGGGTGTTCCAAGATAACCTGATCAGTAAACTTGAACACAAAAGAGGGGCTCCCCATCAGACTGTACGATTTAAAAAAAAGATTTCTAAATCGGTCTCCTTTGAAATGGTTTTTCTCGAGAATGAGATATCAGTTATTCGATAAACGGAAAGAAGACGAAAGATTTCGAAAGCCATTTCTTTGAAATAGTTGTTCTCGTGATATCAGTTTTGATAATTGAAGAATTAAATCTTCATTTTAAATTGTTTTGAAACTTTCAGACCTATGGTATTAGGTTGAAATAGATTTTGAAATATAATGACGTAAATTATGAGATAATTTATTATCTTGACTTTGAAAGTAATAACTAAGTATTTTGTGGAACCCTTGTGATTATGTGATAAAATATAATAGTCTGAATTTGTGGCTCCTCACCAGTACACGGTGTGGCGTTGTACTGACCCCTCCTCCCCAAAACATTTTTTTAGATTGCAGATTTGCTGGATATTGTTTGAAGCAACCAAAGGACTAAAGTCTATTTTGATCCGAGAAAATGGAGATTTTCAATGCTAGACTATGCTCATGATTTTGAAACAATTTATTTGGAGCCTGCGCGCTCAATCTTATGTTTTACCTTCTTGGGTTAAAACTTGTATTTCCGCTAAACTCTGAAATTTTAAATCTATTGTTTTGATAATTACTTATGGATGTACTCAGTGCTATGATTACTAATGCCTTGTATAATTCGAATAAGAGTAGACTGCAGCTATTCTTAAACGGGTTGTACGGCGGTTGCCACGACAGCGGATTGCGGTCCGGGTCATGACATTAATAACCAAATTCATTTTAATTAAAAAAATATTATACTTTGAAAAAATTACTAAATAATTCATTTGCATGATACGTTATTTTATGGTTAGCTAATTACTAAAAAATTGCGACACATATTATATTTAAAAATAATTATAACTTTTTTTGTTGTGGCGTTCGGTTGAATTGTACGTTATGGGGAAATCACTTGAATGTTTTCATTGATGGATTGAGTGAATCGGAATCGACCCTTCCAATTTTGGTGTTGCAGATGGTGAAACCTAAGTTCTACAATGGTATATACTCATAAATTAATTCAAATTAATTTTGAAAGACATGTACCCAATGATTTAATTCTAATTGTATTTTTTCAAATCATTTAGAGCAAGTGTCTGTTACAATATTTTACTCTGTGAGCAAGGTTTTACTCAATGATGAGTGTGATGAAGTTAAAGCTTGGAGAGAAAAGTAAGTCCAAGATCAAGTGTGATGAGTGTGATTAATGTTAAGTGCTAATCATTTAACCCATAGTTGTAGTATCGTCTCAACGCAATCAAGATCAAGAGATGATAAAAGAACGAGCAACTTGAAAGTGGTTTCCATTCATGAACTAAAAAACATGAGCAATGTTAGACATATTTCTTTACATGTTAGAAAAAAATTAAGTTACTTTTCACCTTAAATATTTTGCATATTCATCTATGGTAATAGACTTATTTCATGTATTCCACAAAGAGTATTTTTAAATTATTGAATCATATATAGTTTAAAGGGTATGCACGAGATTTACTAATTAAATTGTCTTTCGTGGAGATTTTCATCGAATTTTGCCAGTTATTCCAAAAGGAACGAGACAGGACATCGTTAACTCAACGATTAATTCTTCATACATTTGGGAAGACTCCACTGTGTTGCGTTTGACGAAAAACATGCTGCTCCAATCAATGATTCATGATAGTGGTTACCCAATCATTTGAATTCACCAAATGGATTGAGAGTATTGGTGACGGGAACACAGGTGATGATCATGACGGTTATGCTGAGGTGATTATTCCTGATGACATGTTACTTTTGTCTTCTGAAGATCCAATAGCCACTATAGTGAATTTAACTTATCTAGACTTTTAAAAAATAGCCAATGAACTGAGCTACTTGCATGAGCGTGCAATTTTGGCTCCTACACTGGATGTCGTCGATTCCATAAACGAATATATGACATCGATGAATTCAAGCAGCGAGACTCGAACATACCTTAGTTCTGATAAAGTTGAGAACTCGGATTGTAGTTCAAGTTTTTTTTGGTGACCTACACTCTCCCAAATTCTTAAATAAGATTCGTGCTTCAGGTGTACGGAATCACGAACTAATTCTGAAGGTAGGCACGCCTATTATGTTGTTGAGAAATATTGACCATTCAATGGATTTATGAAATGGTACACAGTTGATAGTAACCCGGTTGGCTAATCACTCAATACAAGGAAAAATATTATCAGGAAGCCACATGGGTGAAGAAGTTGTTATTCCAAGACTATCATTAACACCGTCCGATACAAGAATTCCTTTCAAGTTTCAAAAAAGACAATTCCCTGTGGTTACTTCGTACGCAATGACGATTAACAAGAACCAGAGAAAATCTTTGAAACATGTTGGACTACTCTTACGGAAACCAGTGTTTAGTCATTGACAGCTTTATGTTGCAGTTTCAAGAATAACTAATCGTAGTGAATTGAAGATTCTGATATGCAATGAAGACAATACTCCCACAAAGACTACAAATAATGTAGTCTATAAAGAAGTTTTTCGAAATTTGCAAAATATTGATGTTTTGTACTTTCAAATAATATAATCTCCATATTCTATTGCATCTCATTTTGTTATCATTGAAAAATGATCTGAATTTAATAACATAAAAATAACCCGTGCAACGCACGAGTGTGATACTAGTGGTATTTAAGCATAAATATGTTATTGATCTCTCGCGTTATCGTGCTACTCAGCTTTATGCTGAGCGTGTAATCTTTTTGTCTACACGTAGGTTGAAGCACAAGTTATGTGAACCATCCGGAGAACAAAGAGATGATAAGATGGCAGCTTGACATGGATTGTAACACCCCGCCCCCCACCCTAGTCGTAAGGGTCCGCTCATATGATTGTAGACTGACCCCACAAACCAACACAAGTCTTTCCCGCATACTTTGTCCTCAATCGTGCGCGCCCAAGGAAACTTCCCAATGGGTCACTCATCTTAGAATTACTCTGGGTCAAACACGCTTAACTTTGGAGTTTCTAAGTGATAAGCTCCGAAAAGAAGATGCACCTTATTGGTATGAGTAGTACCATCAATCCTTTTGAACTCTTTTAATTCCCATATTAATTCGGGGTATTACATTCACCCCACTTAGGAATGCAACGTCCTCATTGCATCCTTTTTTAAACCCTTAGATCTTCCCAGATAGGTGAATTGAGCTCTTTTTAGGCCTGTCACGGTTGCAGGGTTGCTCTAATACCAAGTTGTAACATCCCGATTTGCATAACCAGTTCACGCGGGTTTGCGGACCAGAGCGCTAGCAATTTGGTAAAGTAACATTCAATAACCTTTTTAAAAGTAATACTAACACTAATTTAAAAAACATTAAAATATAGTTTCCTCAAAATAGGATAAAATAATTTTCAGAGTAATTTAATTGTTGCGGAAGCTAAATAAGATTTAACATATTTAATATATAGGTTCAAGTTCCAAAATACTTTAAATTATTAAAACAGTTCCTGCATCGTTCTGCTCCCGACTCAGCATCTTCCGAATTGACGTCATAGCTATAATACCTACACACAGTCACACAACAAAGACAACTGCGCGCTCAGCGAAACCGCTAGGTAGTACCACAACGTTGATTCTATATAATAATTCTTGACACACATTCACATATTTATGGGAATCGATACCCTATTAAACCCTTGTATTTAAGAAAATCCACCTTATCATCTTTATGAAACCTTTAATGATAACATTATGACATTTTTCATTTTAGGACAAGGTGTAAGAACATGATCTCTTCGTATAATAATATGTATATATCCAAAGTACTTATTAAAAATTAAGAGTATTATTGCCAAATATACTTTATTTATAGATTTCATAAATCATTATTGTTCCATCATTTTATCGAGAGAGTATATTTGATAGAATTTAATCCATAACATAGAGTATTGCAACATCCCTCATTTAACCAATCGCTATACAACAAAAGTCAAGGTTAATCTTTACTACTACTTAAAAAACCAATCTTTAGTTACGGTCATCTATATGTTGCTATCTCCCATGTGACAAGTCATGAAGAAAATAATGCTTTACACTTCAAATGTTATACATAAAGAAGTCTTCCAGAATTTATAATGCATTTTTATATGTATAATTTATTTATGTGTAATGCATTACTTCCTCCGTCCCTTATACATTTATTTATTAGCTCTTTTTATTTGTCACACATGGATCTTCTCATTACCTTTTTTAACATTTAAAATACCACGACTATCCCCATTTACTTTATTTATTACACCTTTTCCACCTTATTTAATATACCCCACCATTTTCATTGAGGGTATTTTGGTAAATTTCCACTTTTTTCTACTCTAATTAAGAACAACAGAAAAAAGTCAAAACAAGAAGATGGAGGAACTAATGATTTAAAAACGAGTAAATTCTCAAAATAGTCCTTTGTAATAAGAAATTTTCTTAAATTAGTCCTCAATAAGTTTTAATTATCTATGTGGTCTTCTATAATTGAGATTTATTCCCAAAATAGTTTTTTATAATAAGGTATTTTCGTAAATCAATCATCAATAAGTTTTAATTACATACGTGGTCCTCTATAATTGAAATTTATTCCCAAGATGGTCCTTCGTAAATAATATTACTCAAATGAGAATTAATTGAGGGTATTTTTATCTGTTAAGTTTATAATTAATTCTTAAAATAATCATTTATAATGAAGTGCTTTTCCAAAATGGTTTTTCTAATTAGAGATGTGTATTTAATTTGAAATTTAAAAGATTTTTTAAGTTTTAAATAATTCATAAATTATTTATAGTCAATGTATTTTTTAAATTTTACATTTAGTTGTGTAGAAATGATTGTTTTGAGAATATACTTTAAATTTGGAAGATCAAAATACCAAAATATCTCTCAATAAATCATCATTTGAGTAACATTATTTTCAAAGGATCATATTGAGAATAAATATCAATTATAGAGAACCACATAAATAATTAAAACTTATTAAAAATTGATTTGGGATAACACCTTATTACAAAAGACCATTTTGAGAATTTACTCATAAATAATTTATGAATTATTTAAAACTAAACAAAATCTTTTAAATTTCAAATCAAATATACATCTTCAATTAGAAAAAAAATTTCGGGAAAGCACTTCATTATAAATGATTATTTTAAAAATTAATTCTAAATTTAGCGAATAAAAAATACCTCAATTAATATTCATTTGAATAACATTATTTACAAAGGACTATCTTGGGAATAAATCTCAATTATAGAAGACCACGTAGGTAATTAAAACTTATTGAGGATAGATTTGGAAAAACACCTTATTACAAAGAACTATTTTGAAAATAAATCTCAATTATAGATGCGTAGTAGGAGAGAAAATAACTCGGTTAATTGAGTACGCTACCAAAAATTTATTACCTCTTATTATACTGTCTGCTTCTGGAGATGCCTGTGTTCACGAAGGAAGTTTAAGTTTGATGCAGATGGCTAGGGGTGTAAACGGATATTAATCGGATCGGATGTGCCATTACCAAATCCGTATCCGTTTATTTTTGTCGGATATCGAACTCGGATACGGATATTGAAGGATACTAAAAATCAAAACCGTATCCGCATCCGTCGGATATTGGTCGGATATCGGATATATCCGTATCTATTTCCAATTTTTATAATCAAATTAAACAATATTTTAATTTTAAATTAGATTAAAGTCAAACTATTATTAAATCAACTATAATTTGATATGAGATAATTATTTTCTTTGTTTTCATGATTTATGATATTCTATGATAACTTCATATAATAAAAAGATATACACAACACACATATACACATACTTTAATATGTCTGTATATATTTTTATGTGTCTACACATTTATTTTGTATATAAAAATGTCTTCTATTTTGAAATATCAATATAGAAACAAATTATAAACATAAAAAATTAGGAAAAACTATATATAACGGATCGGATATTCGGATAAACGGTTATTTAAACGGATGCATATTCGGATCGGATTTTAAACGGATCGGATATACAATTACCAAATCCGTATCCGTTTAGTAATCAGATATCCTTAATCGGATATGGATAATATCCGTTTAAAAAACGAATACGGATGCGGACAGTAATCGGATTTTCGGCTATCCGTTTACAACCCTACAGATGGCTAAAATATATGCTGTTTTATATGATTATCAATCAAATAAAAGATTATTTTATATATCAATTCTTACATCACCAACAACCGTAAGTAATTAAATTTATTGAAGACACCATTCGAAAAACAATTATACTCCCTCCGTCCGGAAATTTTCTTTCCGTGTTGACTTGGCACGCTTATTAAGGAATAGTAAAAAAAATACAAAATTTTCAAAAATGCACAAACTATAAACTTTTAAATCTTCTTTTATTATTAAAAAAGTAGATTTGTGATAAGAAGGGTACTATTGATATTTAGCCTTAAAAAGCATACTAAAAAAGGAAATGGGAAGAATATTACGGGAAGGAAGGAGGGAGTACTAGTTTTTGCTCGAAATAGGGGTATTCCATGTCTAAGGCTCTGTTCCGTAGGCCTGATCTGATTGAATCTGATCTGAATTTTTGAAGTTCTGATCTGATCTGATTGGGTCTGATCTGATCTGATTGGGTCTGATCTGATCTGATTACATCTGATCTGATCTGATCTGATTGGGTCTGATCTGATCTGATTAGGTCTGATCTGATCTGATTAAATCTGATCTGATCTGATTGGATCTGATCTGATCTGATTAGATCTAATTTTCTCTAATTAGATCCGGTGTAAATGAATTTAAATTTGATTTAAATTAAACTTAAAATTATTAAAAAAATTAATAGTTTTAAAGTATTACAATTCATATATACATAAAATTAAGTAAAATAAGAAAATCAACTAATCATTAATATGTTTAAACTTGTTTTAAAAATATTAAACATCTTTTCAATATCACAACTTTTGTAATTTTTGTGAAAACTAAATAATCGGTATTAAAATAAACAAATATTATAAAATATTGATGTTATTCTACAAAATTATCACATTCTATATACATATTACATAATAATATATTTCATGTTACAAATTAAAGATCATATAAAATTTTAAACATTAATATCGTTTTCACCTCTATCAATTTTGTCATAAACTCACCCTTGAGTATATTATACCATCTTAAAGTTTAAAAGTAAGTCTTTTTAAGTATACAATATTTATAGTTTTGAAAACTAAGTTTTGTATAATTATTTTATAAACAAGTATTTTAAAATAACTCTTTTTAAAGTATAAAAAATAAAACTTTTTAAGCTTTAACATTGCTTCTATGCATCATTTCTATCCTACAAGCTAAACAATTATATAAAATAATGGTTTGTAGTTGAAATATAATAATAATAATAATAATAATAATAATAATAATAATAGTAATAATAATAATAATAATACTAATAATAATAATAATAGTAAAAATAATAATAATAATAATAATAACAATAATAACAATAATAATAATAATAATATTACAACAATATAATATTTAAAATTATAATATTAATTAAGATTTAGCTGTGTGTAGTTTTAATTAAAGTAATGTGATTTTAAAATAATAGTAATTATTATTTAATCCTTGAAAAATATAAATATTATCTTTTATATTTTTTCTTGATTTAATATTATTGGATTTGATCTGGTCTGATCTGATCTGATTGGATCTGGTCTGATCTGATTGGATCTGATCTGATCTGATTGGATCTGGTCTGATCTGATTGAGTCTGATCTGATCTGATTGAGTCTGATCTGATCTGATTGGATCTGATCTAATCTTATTAGGTCTGGTCTGATCTGATCTGATCTGATTTTAATAAGAATAAGTAATAAGTAGAAAAAATAAGTCCTTCAAACGGACCCTAACTCCCCTTGAACAATAAGTTCAGGTTTTCCGCCGCAAATATACCGCACCCACAATCCCTCCCAGCACTGTCCTTGAAGTTCATAGCCATGGTATGTTCTTGAAGCTTCATTTTTTTTCTTCATTTGTTTTTGTTGTGGGGATTCGCCATCACGAAAGATAATGGGGTGAACTTCATCCGCCACCAGAATGCAAATTCGATGTGTTTATCCGCGCTTTGTGACTCTTAGATACACTTATCATTTATTGTTGCTCTAAGATTTCCAATGAAGGAGTATAATGCATGAATTGGAGTTTTTTACTTGCTAGAAGCAGATCGGAATGCTCTGTGTCAGATCGGAATTAAACGTCATGAACTTTTGTTTCATTGTGGGACTCAGTTTGGGAGGATTAGATGAAGTAAGATCGAAGTGTATATGTAAATAAAAACTAGTAGAAACCAGAAGTTGCAAGTTGTGATTTTGCTTCGTCCTGCTCTAATTTGTCACTGAGAATTTCATCGTCCAAGTATCGTGTATCTTTATAGCTCCTTTGTCCCTTATTTAACTCTAATTAGTATGAGGAGCTCTCTAATTAGCGCAATAGTGCGCAGCCTATATAGGAATACGAGGGACCAAAAAATTAAAAATTTATCTCTTGTAATAGTCTGATGCAAGTTGGAAAAGCAAATGCATCCAAAAAATACCATAAAGAACAACAAGAAGGCTGCCACTGGTTCCTTTTAATTCTTCCCACCATTACCTTATCATCTCGACATGGGGTAGTAAAATTTTCATACTTCTGAATCTAGTGGACTGGGCGACTAGCCTAATAGATAAATCGACCAAGATCTATTCATTGGGAGATGGAATGTGCATGTTTGTTACTCTACCCCTCCCAAATTTTCTCTTTATGGCCTATGTTTCTCTGTTTTATTTCAAAGTTAAACATATTTAGGAATGAGTCTATTAACTTTCATGTTAATAATTTTGGTAAAATTTTGCAGTTGCATGTGATTGACGATGGGTTTAGTGATATTGAAGACACGATCAAGGGTGACAAGGTAGATGAGTTTGTGCAACGGGTTGATTTTCAATTATCAGAGGCAAATCCCTGTGCAATAGACGGTGAGCTTGACCTAGCCCAAGTTATCAAGTGTATTATTTCCCATGACGCAGTGAGATGCGCCACCGCATTGTTCCAAGGGAAGACCAAACTAGTAAAGGATGCTAATGTAGTAACTAAGAATGGATATTACCCGTTGCATTATGCGGCTAAAAGTTTATCACCTAGCATAATAGAGCACTTTTTGGAGCTTGGAGCAAGACCTGATGTGTTATGTCTTGATTATGGGGGTAAGGATGTTGGACTCACCCCACTAGTAATGGCTCTCAAAACGGCAATCTGCAACAATAAAGCCGTCCTGGATTGGTCTCCATCTGAGTGCATCTTTAAGTTGATCTTTTTACTCTGTCTCCCAGAACTGGTACACGCTTTATCTATCCTTTTGATTTAATTCAGTCATATAGCTGTCATTTCTGCTTTCATTACCTATTCTTTGATTGGAGCATTTTTTGTTTACACTCTTTTGAAATTTCTCTCTGATTTTACTTGAACAAGACATTGCAACTTTTGGACACAATAGACACTGAAGAAAAATGACTCTTTCAATAAGTTAGGGGTTAGATATGCCACCCGTGAATAAACAGGGGCCATTGTGACATGAAGTTGGCCTTAACAATTATAGAGGGATTTTTTTCCGCAAGTATCATAGGCTACAACAACAACAACCCAGGTGAATCCCACAACAGTCGGGAGGGTGTGTGTACGCAGACCTTGCCCCTACTCGGAGGTAGGGAGGCTGTTTCCAAGAGACATTTAGCTCCACCTGCACAAAAATATGGAAGGGAACACAGTATAACACAGATAAAGCATCAAGTACAAAAAATAAGTACAAGCAATAGCAGAAGATTCCAAACAAATACAACACACTACAAAACAACCTCTACAACACCGAGCTCTTATCCAGCTACTTTAATCCTAGTTTTCCAAGGGTTCCTATCTAGGGCCATATCCTGTCAAGAAGTCCTAAATCTTGCTTAATCACCTCCTTCCAATTCTTCCTAGGTCTACCCCTTCCCCTACTTCCCCCGATAACTGTAATCCTCTCGCATCTCCATACAGGCATCCCACCGTTTCAATGGCCAAACCATCTCAGCCTCGCTTCCCGCAACTTATCTTCCAACGGTGCTATGCCTACCTGACGTCGGATAACTTCGTTCAAAATCATATCCAACCTTGTCTTCCCACACATCCATCGTAACATCCGCATCTGCGCCGCATGCAGACGATGCACATGAGTCTTCTTAGCTGCCCAACACTCTGTCCCATATAACATAGCAGGTCTGACTACGGACTGATAGAACTTACCTTTCATTCTACGCGAAATCTTCGGATCACACAACACCCCTGAAGCTAACCGCCATTTGGCCCAAGCCACTCTAACACGATGTCCAATATCTGCATCTAACTCCCCATCAGCCTGGATTACCGAGCTAAGATATCGAAATCCGGGAGCATCAACGGAGACAAAGGAATCGGGTGTTTTCCTTTCTGCCTAGTCCCCTTATTTAGGTTTCACACCACTGCAATAATCCCAACTTAGGTGAGGAAGCGGGAAGGGATTTCGGGTTTGGTTGTGGTCCCGACAGGATGTGGGGTGGATCCGGCTTGGTTGTGGGGGGTAAGGAAGGGATTTGTAGGTTTCTTCCTTGTCATTTAATTCCTTTTAAAATAATGTTTTCCTACACTTATTTTTAGCCTATGGCAGAAAATAAGAGTGTGTAAACCAAAACCTTTTGTTTGTTGTTATTTCCCTTTTTCCTTTCTTTCTTTGGCCAAACTTAGGGCATCCCATGAACCCCATATCACCCCAGGCAGAAGTTCTTTGCATAAACCACAACCAAACAAAACACTTCAATTCCCTCATTTGAGAGCCGAGGATACCAGGCCAAAACCACTCCTTTATTTCACACAATAAACCCACCATTACCAGCCAAAACCCCTCTTATTCCATGTAAGAGACCTGTCCCCCCTTTCGTTCCCCAACAAAGCTGCACAGCCCTGGCCCACCACTAACTCAATCAACTCTCTCTTATTCTCTACATAAACACCCAAGAGATACCTCCAAAAGAACAGCCAGCCTTCCCTCTCTTTTACCCCCACTTGGCCGAGAATACATCACCCATAAAACCAATCAAAGTATGGGTATTATTCACATAAATATTTCCCATGCACTAAAGGCCGAGAAAGGAGTTCCACAACCACACATCATCTCTGAATTTTCTCCCTACCTAGAAGACATGAGGGGCTGATGAATATTTGCTAGGAAGCTTCCTTTATGTCCCATTAATTGTATTGTGTGTTCCCCCCCCCACTTTCCCCTTCATATATAATTCGGCCTTAGGGCCATGTTGTAAGGCAGCTTTTTTGATGAATTAAAACATTACTCTTTGAGTATATTTTAAATAGTGTGATGCTATTTAAGCCAAATTCCTAATTCTATATCTTAAGAGTGGTTATCTTAAGTGTGAGTTTTAGGTTCTAGATATTTAAATAAGTGTGTGATATCTTATTTGAATTCTAGATTCAAACCCCAAGTTAAGATAAGAGTGTGTCATATCTCTTAACACCAACTTGGTTTATCCCCTCCTATTTTATTCCCCCATTTCGTGCCTCCCCATATTCTCTTCCTAAACCTCTTCTTTTTCTTCATAAAAAAACACCAAAAGAACTCCCCTTTTGCCCCATAATATTTGGCCACCCCATTTTTCCCTCACCTCCTCATATTCCCTTCTCTAAAATAGCAACGTGATAAGACCCCGGGTCTCGGGTATAATAATATAACATAGCAGGTCTGACTACGGATTGATAGAACTTACCTTTCATTCTACGCGAAATCTTTGGATCACACAACACCCCTGAAGCTAGCCGCCATTTGGCCCAAGCCACTCTAACACGATGTCCAATATCTGCATCTAACTCCCCATCAGCCTGGATTACCGAGCTAAGATATCGAAACTTGTCTACCTTAGGTACTAGGTCAATCCTGACTTCCACCTCTGATTCTATATCCCGGCCACTGAAACAACACTCCATGTATTTAGTCTTGTTCTTACTTATTCTGAATCCTTTAGTCTCAAGGGCAAGGCACCATTAACCTTCTCACAAGATGAATGGCCTCTGTAGTCGATGTAGTCGATCTGGCATGAACCAAATTGGTTCTTAGAGATGCAAACCCCGTTCCGCACCCTATATGCAATGATTCTCTCCCAGACCTTCATGGTGTGGCTAAGCAGTTTCTTGCCTTTGTAATTCTCGCAGCTCTGAATGTCACCTTTCCCTTTAAACAGAGGGACCAAGAGACTCTCCCTCCACTCATCAGGCATCCTTGCTATCCGGAGGATAACATTGAAGAGTTTGGTTAACCAACCCACGCACTACGACCCGCATTGTTATATCTCAGCTCCGGGTTTTATAGTTAAAACCTCTTTATTTGCAGGGAAGGGGAGATAATCGATTGTCCTGAGTGGATAATCGATTGTTAAGGGCTTCAGTATCTTGGGCAGTTTTCTGGGGATGTTCTGGGAGGGGGGATAATCGATTTACAGTAGCAATAATCGATTATTTGACAGTTTTCTGGGCAGGAAGAAGGGTGTTTTTGTGGGGGAATGGACTGGAAATATATGGAGTTGATGAGGGAGTTCTTTTGGGTATTTTAATGGAAGAAAAGAGTGAGATTAAGAGGAGAAATGGGGAGGTAAGAAATGGAAGAAAATCAGGGATGGATAAGCCAAGTTGGTGTTTAAGAGATATTACACACTCTTATCCTAACTTGGGGTTTGAATCTAGAATTTAATTAAGATATGACACACTTAATCAAATATCTAGAACCTAAAACTCACACTTAAGATAACCACTCTTAAGATATAGAATTAGGAATTTGGCTAAAATAGCATCTCACTATTTTATTTTATAAATACTCAAAGAGTAAAAGGAGTTTTTAATAATTCAGAGATGATCATTACAAGGGCCAAATGGCCGAAATATATAAGGAGGGGAGAGGAGGGAAAACACACAATATAATGAATGCAAATACAAAGAACCTTCCTACATCCCTTTATCATTCACTAGCTTCCAATCTTGAGTTGATAAGGGCTGATTTTGTTTGACTTTGTCTTGGCTTTGGAGCTGGCTTTGTGTTGTGGAGGCAAAAATCACAAAGAATGAATGAAATCCTTTGATGATTGTGGTGGATATTCTGGCTAAAAAGAGGGGACAAACAAAGATGGGTGAGGGATGGTGTATTGGCCTTATATTCTTGGTCATATGAGGTGACTGATTTAGTAGGTGGTGTATCAACAACAACTCAAATGTCCCTTGGCTTTTTGTGGTTGTTTATTCAGCCCTAGTAGGGAACATAAAGGGGACAAGAATGGGGAATATCTTGGTTGATGTTGTGTTGGGATAATGAGGGATATTTGGCCTGGGATTTATAGAAAAGGATAGAAGGTTTTATTTGTTTATTAAAAGGTTTAAAAGAAAGAAAATAACAACAAACAAAGGTTGTGGTTTACACACTCTTATTTTCGGCCAGGGCCTAAAATAGGAGTAGGAAAACTTTATTTTGAAAAGGAAATATTTTGGATGTTTAGGGAAGGTATGGAGAGTGTGGGCTCAGCCTAGGGTGGGTGTAGGACAACCATGGTGTTGGGTTGGGTTCTAAGACAGGAAAATGGAGAAGTTTCAACCCAATTAATGTCACCACACTTGGGCTTTATTCCCCTGATCTGTCTTTCCCTTGGCGGGCTACGGAGAGTCTTCGGGCATGCTCCCGGATATATATCA